TCCGCTATTGAGCACGCTCTTTAATATTTCTTTAATATTCAAATTACGCAACCAAAAGCGTATTATATAGTCACTTAATTACTACTGTCGTTACATAAATGATTTTGAGCCACCGTACCACGAGAACTATGTTTTTTGAAAATGTGTATTTATATTAACAATTTTAATATCTATAGAAAATATTTAAAAATAATAATAAAAAAATACTTTATATAATACTTTTTCTTTTCTAAAGGTGGAAAAAACCATCATCACAGTGGTTCCCAAAATTTGAGACGTTTTGTGTTCTGTACTATGTAATTTAGTCGAAATCGCCTGCTTGGAAATCTATTAAGCCTGTTTGTCTCGGTTAAAACTATTCTTTGTCCTTTCCCAAGGTCCACTGCATCTTTTCCAAATTTCATTAACATTATCATCATATTATACATTATTTTAATTGTCTTATCACGGTTCATGAATTACAGCTAGGTGACAGACGGACAAAGGAGTCTTAGTACAAGGCCCCGTTTTGACACTATGGGTACGAAACCCTAAAACTGATGAGTATTATAGTGAATATGATACTTTTTTGCGTTACTTTACCTAGGTAAACTATTACCTACGTAGTCGGCCTTAGTGAAATATTGATATATTAGACTAATGTTTCTAACATTGTCATGGTTACTTAACAGCATAGAGAAAATTTTGAGTTCTGTCAAACCTAAGCAATATTTTTGTAAAATATAATTTTCAATAGCTAAATAATAAAATGCTGTTCGGTAAGAAACAAATAGAACAATTAAGCGCATTCACTGGGACAATTGTTGCTTTCGGATTAGCTAGTTTCATAGGAATGGTTTATATAACTGACTGGAGGGTAATTGCTGGTTACTTGCCGTTTTACAACACCAAGTTTCAAAACGAGAAAAAAGGTGAAAGTACAACTTGTGAGTGACGACTCTTACTGTAAACAACTCTCCGCCAAGCAGGTGACGTTACTAACTAGAAGCTTTTTAAATATAAGGAGGGTGAGTGAAACGTTGGGCACGCGCAAGAAAGATTAACAATTGGATTTTGTAAAGAGAATGAAATTACAATAATGACTAGTTTGAGATCAGGTGTGCTCGGATTTTGTAATAGAATGTCAACCGGCCCGTGCGCAGCCGGCGCGCGCGCAGCTGCCGTGGCCCTCCTTGCCTCACCGGCCACGCGCCCTCTCAACAAACAGAACCTCTATATTGTATTGTTATGTTTTTTTACGTGTTTTATTTTATAATTGCTTTGTTGAAATATTCTAGAATAAATATATTGTTAAAATTTATGTCTATAATTTGAATTTTCGTAGATATTAAAAATTTTAAATTAGTCACCGTATATATTTTCAAATATACCCAGATTGAATTACTTAAATTTGATTGACATTGAGAAAAGAAGAAATTCTTTTGGTACATGGTACATGTTCCACAAACCAAAGTGTTTCGTGCTACTACTTGTAAATAGTTAAATAAAAATTTAATTGACTATTAAAATATGTAAATATGAAAAATTTTAAAAATCAACTTTTGGGATTCTGAGATGGGATCGAACCCACGACCTTTTGCAAGCGCATTCACTGGGACAATCCGGGCGACTGCTCTAACCACTGCTACCTAGGACCTAACGGGACTGACGAATCTTTCAAGCACTTGTTACTTTTTCGCTACTACAGACTGTATTCTCATCAATGTTTAGGCAATCGATTCAAACAGCCGAAAGAAGTATTTTTAAAATATTTAAACTTTCGACAAAGTTGATAATAGTATTGTGAATGCGAAATTGTTAAAATATAATAATGTATATATGAATAAAGAGAAAAGCTTTGTAAAGTGTTCTGTTAATGATAATCAACAATTGGAAAATTGTTTTACTTGGGATTTTGTAGTTTTAATGTATGTACGTATTTGTGTTTCTATTACTTTTATGTTTATGTTTTTTTTATTTTAATTATTTTTGCTTATGTAGCTTTGGTAAATGAAGCCAAAGTCTTGTGAAGTAAAACAATTACTTCACGCTATTGATAAAAAAGGATTGGTAAATGAGTAAAAACTGTAATCCATAAAGGTTGCTTAGTCTCCTCCTTACAAAGTTTTCTAATATTATAAATAGGAAATAATAGGTTGGGGGAAAGTTTCTTCGTATTTTATATGACAACTTAAAGCATTTTTTAATAAATTAAATTTACATTTAACTAAAGTGTTTAGGTACCATTTTCTTCAATAAATTTTTGCCATCTTGTAGATAGAAACACGATCCCATAGCTATAAATTTTGGGGCTTGATCAAAAAACCGCGATAAGTGGTTTTGGCAGTCCTCGCATGATGTTAACTTTTTATTGGCGCTGAGAAATGCGTTATGCATATCCGCTTCACCCAGCGCGGGCTCCACGGGTTATGTGGGACTCCTTCTGCGGCCCCACCCCCGAAGGGGGCTAGACAAAAAGCAGAAGTTTACCCACTAAAACTTAGCGATGTCCCTTGCATGGAAGGCGATGCACGGGACATGACGTTAACCTGTCACTGCCTAAAGAATTCTGAAGAGTCCGATACAGGTGGATATCTGAAGGTGTAAGGTCAGCACTATACGGCGGATGCATTAACACCACTCTCTTAATTTTTGCTGAGTAGCAAAAGATATGTAAAGTCTAGCGTTATCATGATAAAAAACTACATCCCTTCTATTGATTAATTCTGGCCGCTTTCTTCCAACTTTTGCTTTAATCTCTTCAGTTGTTCGTAGTAGATTTCAGAATCGATGGCTCTGCCTGTCGCTAATAGCTCATAATGATTAATGCCCTTCCAATACAATCATACACACATCATCACCTTGTTGGCAGTTAACCCGGGTTTCACCATAGTCTGTGAAGCCAGATCTACCTTTGACCACGACCTTAATCGCATATTCTTGTCGTACATGATCCATATTTCATCACCAGTTATCAGCTTCTTAAAAAATGGTTCGGTTTCATTACGCCGAAATAAAGAATCACAAATAAGTACACAGTTCATTAGGTTTCATTCAGTGAGCTTGTGAGGTATCTAAATATCTAACTTTTTTATGCATTCAGCTTTTTTCAAATACAGCAAAACTATTTTATGGTAAATCCCCAATTCTACAGCTACGTCGTCACTACTGATATGCCGATCTTGCTCCACTTTTTCAAAAGTGGCATCCATTTTATCCGTAACAGGGCGATTGGAGCAACGTACATCTTTGACAACAAATTTTGTGCTACTCTCACAGAAACTGCACTAGATCCATAAACATCCCAATTTTTTTTTTCGCGGCTTGTGTTAAATTTTTTCCTTTTTAGTAATAAAACTTTAAAATGTATTAAATTTTTCATTAAATTCACTCACTTTGACAGTAAGAAATACAAATGAAAATCACACAATTTCCTAATTTAAATTAGGAAAGTTATCTTCTTTAAAATTTAATCTTCTTAATGATACCGAAATCAGCCAGATACAAATGGTATAGCCAGAAAGATTTTATTACAAGTTAAAGACTTTTCCCCCTAATATGTATTTGTTTATTTGTTTGTATTGAGTTTGTAAAAATAAATCATGCGCGGTTGTCATAAGCTATTATGTACACAAGCAAGGTCTCGGGAAAGCAGCTAGTTTATGTATATTTTTAAACCTATCGATAGTCATAATTAATTAGCACTAGAAATAGGTTTTATGTTATGTGATCCTTTTTACGCTTTTACCGAAATCACGTTTTTTATTTCTCTTGCCCTAAAAGACCGTCATTTCAACTCGTAATTACTTGAGAAGATATTATAATCTAAGGAGATCTTTACCAAATAAACAAGAATTTGATTGAAATAAGTATGGTTAATAGTTAGAATAGGTACTATTATTATTAACTATAGTTTTTACTTCATTCAGATTCTAAAATCTATCATAAAATTTATAGAAGTGGGTGTTCTGTCAGTATTCCGAAAGAAAATGGTATGTACTTACATTTTATAATTTTTCTTGGTAATATTTCTTGGTAACATATAGTAAGGAAAAAATACCTATTTATAGATCGATACCTTTTTACACGACTGTCCAAAAATTTACGGTTAATATATACTTTTGAAGAACTTAAAGACATGTGCTCCAGTAATTACTTTTCTCGATTATAGCTATACGCGAGTTTAGGGATATAAAAGCAAAACAATATTGAATTAAAGTCCCGATTTTATTTTTGAAAGGCCGAGATTGCGCGTTCTTGTTGATTCAGCAGAATGTGATAAGAACAAAAGCGTACATTACATTGTGGCTAAAGAAAAAAAAAGCATTAATGTAAAATAAAAAAAAATAAATAATGTAATTTATTTTTGAAATCGAAGTATGCGTAAACTCGTTATTATAACTCTGTTTTTATTTACTCCCCTCGCCAAAGCTCGCTAAAGCGCAAAGGTAGTAAAACTACGAATAGAGTCATTTCGGCCCCTTGTGTAACAATCTTCTGTTATTTCTTTTATAAAAATGAAAGTTATGATAAATTATTTAACACATAATTTGATTAAGTTCATTTCTTGGTAAATTTTGGAAAATTTATTAATTTATAAAAATTTCAATATTATTGGTGACCTTATATTTCTTTACGAATTCTTGAATTGCCAATCCCAAATATGTCATCATGGGTTAGCACTATGAATAGGGCCCCCATTGTAGTGAAGGGTCCGAGGGAATAATGCTCTCATGAGGGGTGAGGAGCGTGGTGCGCCCGAGTTCCGATACAGCGTGCATGCCGACACTTGCTTGTTGGCCGCTTGCGCAGCGGCACCGTGCGATCCGTGCGCTCGTATTTACGCGCTTCGTAAACATAGTCGAGTGTAAAAACTTCTTTCGATTATCTTGACGTTTAGCCAAATTAAAGTTTTGGATGGACATTGGACATTATTCGAGATAGAAAGTGTTATATAACACGTAGATAAAGGACTTAATTTTTTTAAATATTGAAATACTTGGTGCTAGTGCTCTGCAAAAATGGATTTGTCTTGTGGTGAGAACATCGAAAACTCAGGGAACCGGAGCAGCGGCAGGGCTGACGTATGTGTGGCTGGACCGGACCGTGCGCTAGATCGTGATCCCAGGGTGTTGATGAATTTGATGGCACTAGAAAGAGCCCATTCCCTTCACACGGACTACTTCCAGAATGTACAAATTGATATTCAGCCATTTATGAGAAAGGTGGTCACTACATGGATGTTGGAAGTGAGTAACTTGCTTTTAATTATTCCTCTTTCCTAAAAGTACCTACCTTTCCTTAAAGTCTACATTTAAAATTGAAACTAAAACATGTTGCATTTATTATGTTGAGTTCCTAGTTATTTATTTACACTTCCATTTAGGTGTTATTGTGTACAAATTAATTATGTAGATACTTTGTTTATCATAATTAAGGACTATGAATACGACATAAATAATTAGTTATTTTAACACCCACTATCTAATCTGTAGGTAGGTAATTTGTAAATTACAAAAAGCATGCCTTCATGGAAAAATTTCAAAAGTTACGTGCACCTACCTCGTAAAAATTATTGCAAATGTAAAATTTGGTTGCTCATTAGAATTTTTAGGTTTTAAAATTTTACGTAATGTTGATCAGGAAGTTGATATTGGCGTGATATATTTTTTAATGACCTGGAAGAACATTTTTATAATATTGACTTATACTATAGGTATAGGTATTTCGTATCAATTCTAAGAAAGATTAAGAACGTTTTTCTTTCATTTACATAATTCATCATATCGTGTTACTTCCGTCTATTATGTTTGGCTGTCAAGTAGCCATAACCACTTGCATGGGTAAAAGGAGGAGTCATTTATACACGCCACTTCTTGAAAATATCGACGTTATATCAGGTAGTGAACTGAGGTTCACTGTAGATACTACCTGGTCCGCCGTGCGTAATTCTTTTCAATTCGCTTTTGAAAGTACCTACAGTGACAATAACAGATAATGTTGGGTTGGGTTGGGAAGATTATTGTAGGTACATACTCCAGATTACACAAAACTATAAAATTTCATCAAGATAAATTAAACATCAACATGTTTACAATTAAGTTAAAAAATTTTTGATGTAACCTGATGTCCTGCTTTATGCACAATCGACAGAACGTTAGGTTATATCAATTTTTCCACTTTTTTTCCCCACTCAATATTAAACCTTAATATATTGACGGTAAAGTTCATAATTCAAAACTTATTTCAAAAGGTAATAAAGGTTTTACGGTCACAGCACTGCGCTTAACGTCGAGTTCGAGGCTGTATTATAATAGAATAGGATAGTTGATCTGCTGTTGAGTGTATTTTAATTGTTTCAAACCTCCATAATACGATATTGTGTTCGCAAATTGTACCCTTTAAAACAGTTACTAGCTGGTTGTTCTCATTTCAAGGTCTCAGGATGGTGTAGTTTTTCTACTTTCACAAGTTAATAAATGTCGTTCATTCAATGTTGGCTTTGATTTTGGTTCTTATAACTTCTTTCTGTTTCATAAAACTGCAGATCAAAAACATGATTATAAGTAATCCAATCGTAGAATGTCAACAGCAAGTTTGCTACATTTTAAACTGCCGTAGTCCTGTTCATGTTATTTTTTGTTAATAAATAACTTAGTACGTAATTACTTTTAACGAAACCTCTGCACTTTACGAGCCCTTACAACTGACTGCCAACGGAAATTTTTTCTTATATTTTTTGCTGAACTTAGCTTTTCAATGCACACACGAATCTCTCAGAGGCAGAAAGGCATAACAGGTAAAAAGTTTGCCACAACGCAGGTAATAGATGTTTCATGATGCCTATTTGTTTCTATGCTGATGTATAACATATTAAAGTACTTTAGAATTATTGACCATAAACGGATACAGTACAAAAATACATTAGATAAGTAACTCCGTTAAATTATCTGGAATGGTTTCGTGACTGTAATCTTATTATTTTAGAGTTCACATTACATTATATATTGCATACAGTAAAGATCCATAAGAATCATCATCATCTTATCAGACAAAATACTGGTCAGGGGCCTTATTGTCTAATTTGATAATCTACGCTACAACAGTTTCACATGTATTAGCGATTGTAATGTAAAAGTAAAGATGTTGCCGTTTTTAAAAAGATATTGAATTAACGATATTATTAATTTGACGTTAATTTTAGATGCAAATATCTTTGAATGCTACTAAGATGTGTCAAACTAAAGAGTTGAATGCTAATTATTATCTTTCGATGGGTTTAGCTGTTTTTATTGTGATTCTTGGCAATAAAAAAATATGTGATTCCATAAATCGCTACAATAATCGGATTACGATTGATTTCGAAATTAGACAATTAGGCCATTGGTCTGATTTATTAGATATTCTAACGTTAATGAACAATTAAGATTAAAACAACATATTGATCATTAAAGTTGCATATTCCAATGCAGTTTACAGTTCATTGCAATTTTAACATTGGATGTTTTTAAACAGGTGTGCGAAGAGCAGCAGTGTGAGGAGCAGGTGTTCCCATTGGCAGTGAGCTATATGGACCGGTTCTTGGCGCAGCGTGCTATTTCTCGTCAGCAGCTGCAGTTACTAGCGGTCACTGCGCTGCTGCTCGCATCCAAGTTCCGACAATGTCATCCGCTCTCGGTGGACCTGCTGTGCGCCTACACCGACAATTCTGTTTACCCCCACGAAGTCAGGGTGAGTCAATCACGAGGATTTATTTGTTTACTTGTTTTGATTGGGTGCTAATAGCATTGGCATTGCTAGATGGTGTGGCTATATTCAAGACATTAAAGGGGATAAAGACACTTGATTCAATACCTACTCTGTTACACAAATGAAACGTCATTTCAAGAGATGAAAAAATTATTTCACCTAGACTGGCTACTACTTTTGAAGATAAAGTTGAGAGTAAAGTATAAACTGTAGTGTTTGCAAAAGGAGTATGACTCGAGAGATTGCTATGCGGTCGGTGGTTTTACAAAAAGTTCTATTCATATTTCCGTTGGGTTACTTCAAGATAATAGGATCGTTATCTAATGATTGAATAAAATAATCTGAATTATTTTAAATTATGTACAAATATATTTTTTTCATTTATTTAGGTAAGGGCGACAAAAATAAGCTTTAATATAAAATAAATGATTTTCATAATATTTTTTGCTTCAAAATATGTTCTACAAAAAGAGACATAATATATACTAAGCAAAAACATAAACTATTATAATTAAACACGAAAAGGTTTTGTCTATTTATGTATAGTTCAAGTACAGTGGTCGTATTACTTAGATATTTAAAGGTTATAAAGAAATAGTACTGCATATTTTTTTCTAACGTCAGTTTAGTTTTTTTGTTAAATGAATATGTAACGAGTTCCTTGACCTAAACCAAAGGTCAAGTTGTTCCAAGCAGGCGAACACCTTACATCCTGTCTTGACCGCATGTACTTGTTGTTTTGATTTCAATATACCTCAATTAGATATGTCAAATGTCACTCCGTTACCCTAAGGTACGACCCTCACTACCTCTATATTACCCGTTTCCTTAAAGTCGCCAGAATTTCCGGTAATTATATCTTCCTTAACATAATCTATGGAGCAAGGCACTTATTGTCGCCCTCAAGTAAGCCACAGCCTGTGACGAAGATATTGAATTGGTTGTTTCGCTGCTTCCGACGGAAATGTGGGCCCGGTCTGATATAGAGATAACTTTGTTCTTAATGCGACATAGAAAAAAATGTGGTGACCGCTAATGTCTGTATCTATTTCGGTTACAATAAAGAAATATATGTGCGAAAACTGTTCAAAGGATTTTGTATTAAAGTGGAGAGTGTGAACTTCCTCGACTGAATATCAAATTGCGTGAACTAATTCCCACAACAATGTGGTCATAATGTCAACTAAATTGTCACTGGTGATTGTCCGTGGACAGGTGTGATCACAACAATTAGGTAGCACCCATAAGCACGACTTGTGTAGTTTAATTCTCACGCCTTTCCACCCTCATCACCATGAGCATGTTAAAATAATTGAAATTTCATTCGAAAGATGTTTTGTGACTTTCATAGCATTATGCAAATGTCCAAAACATATTTTTCGAGTTTTGGTCGTGGGAATGCTCATTCCTCATGCTCCGTATGGCATCGCGACATACACTTCCTTGCAATTAATTCGTGCTACGATCATGATAGGTCTTATACTACGCATACTTAATGATGTCATATGGTGGCTCAGAAATAAGTTCCCGTGACCCTTGCTTTTGTTTACGAGGAATTTAGTAACTCCATTCATAAGTTAAATATTAATAGTTCCCGATATTGATGTTCGTTGGTATACTTAACAATTTGAGCACACAATGGAGGACATAAGACGGCTTCCGTTTTAATGTATTGATAAAAGATGTCATTGTGTTAACGAACGATTGATTTAAATGGACTTTGAGATAGTGATTGTTTTTAACGAATGCAGTGATAACGATGTTTACTCTCGTTTATTTATTTGTAAATGGGAAATTATCCGATTCCTTAATTATTGCTTATAATAAGATCAATAAAAGCATATTCATAAAATGTCAATGCAACCTCACTGATTTATAAATCAATGCACCGCCGAAACTATTGTACCTAGGACTTGAATTTTGGTACAGGCATTCCTTTCATGATGCAAGTAAGCACTAAGAAAGGATTTTTAAATTTAACCCCTAGGGGTGGAATGTCGTTTATATGGAATTTTCTCATTTTTGGTCTTAGAAGTATGAAAGTTAAACCACGCTAGCGATGCCACTGGCGGAAGGCTATTATGTAACATTTGGTTGTTTGCTTTTAATTTTTTTTTTTTATTTCCATAGAATAGGCTCCAAAACAACTGGGCTGATTTTAAAAATTCTATATATGCGAGGGAAGTAATCATAAATATTTATAAGGTTTGAAATTATGTTGCCATTGAAAAAGTAGTAACCATTATAAGGCTTCAGATTACCACTACCGTAAGCTTATACTCGCCCTAATTATTTTGATATGTCAAGCGTGCCCTAGCGCGAAAATTTAGACATCAATCCCATGGGTTGTTCCTTTACACCATTACTATTTTCTTTTGTAACATGATTCGCTACTTTTTGCGGTTTCCGTCTGATTCGCCGAGTATGACGGTTACGATTCAACTGTTGAGAATGTGCATTTGTCCTTTCTCAAGAATATTTGAATGAGGGTAGTAATTGCTATATAAATTAAAGTGATCAATGAATAAAGAGTGAGCTATCTTGTTTTGAAATATTTTTTTTTTCACACGGGGTCGCGCCCTTCACATTTGAAAGTTCGCTAAGGCGATTGTCATTTGCGTTCGAGTATTCTGGTAGGGACTGATTTTGGCGACGAATAATAGTGTTTTTTTGTTACAGCAATGGGAAGTTATGCTTTTGCAACGACTGAATTGGCAGTTGTCGATTGCAACAGCGTTCGATTTTGTGGAGCCGTTCCTTGCTCGTGTGCCTTGGGGCAGGACCAATCCTTTAGTGCGCACACACGCTCTAACTCTTACCTCGATCTGCTATACAGGTAAGTTACATTATACAAAAAAAAAACAGTTTTCCTGTTGACACCTCATTAACAACTGTGAAATTCGAGTAGCATGCGGGCTTAGCGACTTACCATTAATCGATAATGTGCCAGTTTTAATTAACATTTCTCGCTAATTTGTTTAATATGTAGTTGTAGTGGGTTCCAAAAATAGGATGTGTAGTAATGACGTGTGAGTTTAGTCCGCTATTGTTTAGATAGTCTGGGCGTGTAGCGTGTGGTCATAGCGTGTAAAGGAGCGCAGGGGTGGTACGCGTGTGTATCGGCGCGCACATGCTGCGCAGTGATAACGCGCACACCTTGCGCTTGCGCACCCCTCAGCCACTGACCCCAACAATTATAATGTTAAATTACACAACGTACTTAAAATAAATAAAAAAATATATATATATAATGTACCTACTAAATAACAAAAAATTACGACATAGTCTAATCTAATCTGTGTTTAAAAAGCTTTTTTATGTTTCTTTTAATATCTGTATCTAAAACCGTATTGTAACTATGACGAAAATACCCGTTTTTTTTTAAACAAGTGTAGATCGCTTGAAATTACCTTCGTATTAGCTGCCTGCGATTGTGTCTGCATAAACGTTGACATGATCGTCAGGTACCCTCAAGTAATTGTAAAATGTACTTTGGCCCAGGGCACTTACAGTACTAATGCCATATAAATCGGTCGACATGAATGGACGAGCAAAAACAAACTTACATTTTTATTATATCATGAATGATATTAAAATATCCTGCTAGGGAATGCTAAGTAAGTACATAAAAATAAAATTTCAATTGAATTCAACTAGTTTAATAAATTAAGTGAATCTTTGTGGATTAAGTTTACGATTATTATAGTGTGGGCACGTGTGTGTTTACGATTAGAATGTGTACTCTTTATTTGTCACCTACTGACGTCGTTAAATGTAATTTTATATGCTCATAAACTCTAGTTGCATTTATACTAAAAATAATTGTTCTATATAAGCCATAATAAATCTACCTTGTGCAAAGCTTTTATATGCTACTTTAAACATATCCACCATAATGGGTTTAAGAAGTATATATATTTTGTATGTTCAAATTTCTAACGATAGGAGCTATATTTATGTTGTCAACCATCAATTGGGCAAAAGTTAGGATACGATTTTATGAATTTTGTGTTTATTATTATAACACGAGAATTTAATTGAATTGGTGAAATTAAGAAAAGGGCATCAATAAATACAAAAACTTTTTTGTTGATTAACGCTGAATTATCCGAATTTTGGCAACAGTGGCGTAATTTTAGTTGATATCAGTAAAATATTAATGTGTGTTACATTATTTTTTATCTAACGATTGGTATTTTTATTGTTTTTTGTGTATACAACTACAATATGGCTAGTAGTAATACTGAAAATTTTTGACATAAATATAATTGTATTTGACACGAAGTCAAAAAAGGTTCAATAGTATATCTTCTCTAGATAATTTTTATTGAAGTGGCATGCCACCATTAGTTGTTTATAATTAAGTACAGTCTTCACATCACATTATGCAATCCTCTCTTCCTCCAACAAATTTTAGACCTGAGTTTGTAATTGGACCTCAAAATAGATCAACGAAATTTCAAATTTCTTGTTAACCTTGAAATACCATTTTGTCATAATTTATGTGCACTATTAAATAAATTAGATAAAATCTTACAAAAACCTAAAGTAAAGGAAAATTTCCATTTTTTTTAAATATTTACAAAAAAAATGTTTCAAAATAGGCAACTATAGAAAATTTTAAACTATGAAAAATTTTTACATCTAACAGCCATTATCTTTCGTGTGAAAACTTAACAATATGCTGAAATTTGCGATGTTAGTAGCATTTATAATATTTTTTTAGATGAACTTTAATTAAGAGCGCGTTATATCCATTATTAGGATAAAACTAAGCTCTGTATACGCCCGTATGGTCCATCGAATCCCGATAAGAGTTATTTATGGCTGTCAGTTGTTGCCCTTACGTTCAGTTAGTAGAGTACAGATATTATCTTTTATTGGTCACAAATAATATGATATTTTTAATGTCCAGATCACTGATAGATAAACATAATGTTTTGTTTGTGTTTGATTAGAAATCGAAGTCTTTTAATAAATTAATTAAATAGATTTCAGTTCACTCTTCTTAGATTACTATTCAGACGTGTAATTATTTAAGATTTAAGATTGAAATTTATAAAAAATATTCGTTTCTTTTTATTACAAATGTACTTTGCTTCAGTTATTATTTAAATTGGAGTGAATGGAAAGTCTGGCTACAGATTGTACAATTAAATTATTTGCATTTTAAAAATGTTTGGAAAGTTAAATATATTGTAAGTGATTTGTTAATTTGAAACCGAAATCAAGTAGTATATTCAACTCGTGTAGTGCGGTGCCCGCTCCGGAAATAATAATTGCTGGTAACTGATCGTGCTTTACTGGAGGTGTTAAAGGGTTAATAACATGATTGACCCCGAAACTTCCTCCATCTTTAACGCAGGGTTCTTTTCTCGCATTCTTTTCTATGACTAATTAATTGCACAGTATCGGTTAAGGTATTAAATTACAATGTGTGTTAATTTCACACTCAAATTTATTGTAGTAGCATTTCCTTACAAAAGACTTCAACGACGAACTTCTCGTAATATATATTATTATTATTGGCTTAACTGTAGATATGTTTATATACGAAGCGTATCCAATGTTAAACATAAGGCACGGTTAGTGATTTATCGCAGCTGATATCCAGAATATAATTCAAGATATGATGTCAGGGCTTGGTTGCACAGGGGCCGCGACAGCTGACTGGTGACAATACGCGAAGACGTCCCGCGGCCTTTGTGCTCTCCCGTTCTGTCCTGACAAAGGAGCCTCAACAATGCCGTCTCGGCTTGCACCTGGCTCCCCTGTCTAACCAGACTACCGACTCCTCGGAGTTAAATGTTTGAGATGCTCCGATTTCGCGTGATCTAACGTTTCCGCTCTTCCGAGCTTCCGAACCCGACCTATTCCAAGCTCTGAGAACTACTTTTTTCCGCTGTCATTACGTTCGACTTTGTTATCTTTTTGTCACTTCCCTTAGTAACGGGTTATTATGTAGATGACATACTAAGCCCAAGATCGCTATATCGGAGTGGTTTATAATAACTTAAAAGTTACTTCACGGACGTAATAGCGTTAAGGTACACTATAAAATAATGACATATCTAAATAAATATCGATATTATTAAAAAAAAATTAAATAACTATTCAAGCAGGTTTTTTGAATAAGACATTAGTAGTGAATAGGAATATTTTTATTGCAACTAGTTTCGCACGATTAGATATTAATATTTGCAACCCTTGCATTTCACGTAAGAGTATTTGTATTGGGGAACTATTAGGGTCAAACAAGTTTCTCAAACGGAACTTAACGGTCTCCGTTGACTGTTGAGTGAGCGTCATTAGGATCGTTTGTAATTAAGGGTGCGGGTAAGACGCGGGGGCGTCTTGTTATGACCCCTTGCTTGACTCGTGCCTCAGCAGATGTCGTCGATATTGCCGTCCAACTGCCGGCCAACCTGTCGCGCAACGGATCGCGACGGTCCGCTGCCCGCACCGAGATCATGTCCGATAAGCAACTCGCGATTGTTTTGTTTTTGATTTTATAATTAACCAAGCCCTATCATGCAGGCGGTCGTCGTGGATGGTCGCGTATAGTGGCTTTGCAATAGTCGTGTCCTATATGCAACGTAACGAATAAGCTGCACTTTTTTACAGTGTTAAAGCTCACCCTATCTTGCCGTTTCATTGACCTATGTTCGTAAGAAAGGCGCATGTTCGTTATAACGTTAATTAATAGCTGGTTAGTTTTTCTCAATAAAATTATGTATGGCGCATTCGCGTGTTGCGATATTATTTTTTCTTGGCAAAATTATGTAGGGAGGTAGAAATGCGCTATCGTGCAAGAAGGGTGTAGGTGGACAGTGACCCAAGCGGCGTGGCGGGCGGAAGGGTCGCGCCAGGTGTCGTCACATCTGCTGTGTCTTGGCCTACCTCTACACCCAACGCTGTGTCGTCTTTCAATTATATCGACTTGTTTCGCTTCAATACCTTCACCGTTATACACCTCAGGGTAAAGAACCCACCGGAGAGTCTATTCACAAAAACTAATCAAAGAAAATATCACGGTATGAAGTTGTGCAAAATTTAACGGATATATATTTCGAGGGTATCGATTAGGTCAATTGATCGTGGTCTACAAAATTTTTTGCTAAACAATTCTGTCCCTTCTTGCGATATTACAGCTGCCTCCTGACTTAGACGACTTAAGATGTAAATTACCATTATTCCGTCTCTATTGTTGTTGGGCAGCACACAAAGATGCAGACGGGGACGGAATGCACAAATCTGGCAGCTGTTCGACTCTCCTTCCTTGTTCGTAAGAACAACAATGAGCGATCTGTAATGTGCAAAATGTTACGCGGCGTTTTTTTTTAATAGTCGCTAACATAGAATGTTGCTATTCTTAGACATTATCGGACTTTTGTTTTCGATTATATTATTACGTACGTTTTTACTATATTAATATACGTTTTCATCTTGATGTTTAAGTATGTAAGCTCCAAGGACGCAGTGCGCAAGGTGTCCGAGAGGCACCTGTCTGCAGTAATTATCTCGCAACAGATGTATCCTACCTGCCTTGTATCCTTTCTCGGCGATACAGTCATTCGTAAACATACTATCGAAATAGTAAACAATCTAATTTTACATACGTAAATATCAGGACGAAGATTTAATTAGTATTGTATTCAATATACAACAATACATTTCATGTTTTTATTATATAAAATAGGCATTTATTGCATATTATTCTTAAAATTTATTCATTATTTATGATTTTTTATTTGCGTATCGTAGCAAATTTCATAGTTTCATTATGACCTTACTATCTGCGGCTCAGGTCAAAGAAATCTCAGACTAGGACTTGTCATTTATTATAATCCAAGTATTAATTACAGCTACAAACCGGTAAAATACACGTAAAGCGAAGACTAAAACGTAAGGTATCGTTGGGTAGATCGGTGGGGGGCGCTTCATACTAAAGGTTAAAATATTGCGGAATTCGAAGATCTGTTTTTGTTAAAATCTAATGACCCTTTTTAGCAGCTAAGCGCTGTTCTTGTGTATGTTTAATAAATATTAATTGTGATAAACATATTTAGTTACTGGAAAATACTAATGATCTAAGTAAGCTTTATATAGTCGATCAACTTGTGATAAAATAAAGACTTATAATAAAAGAACAATGGCGAACTCCCATATCGCTTTGGACCTGAATTTTTAAAGTCGCGTTCATCAATGAAATAAACGTGTACTTGAAGGTATAAGCTAAACTAACCAAATCCTAATCGTCTTTTTCCTTTACAAGTTGGGATTAAAGAGATATGGCATAAAATACTTTGTGAGGTTATATATTGCATCTTTGCTTTTTCGTTGAATGGACGTTAAAATGAATAAAAATGGTAACCAGGTTACTCCGTTTAATAAACTAGATTAAAATAATTACATATCTAACAATATCCAGACATTTATAATAGAAGAAACATTTATATGACTAAACTGTGTGGAGTAGATCCCTTTGCCTTTAATTAAATCATTACAACTGAAAGTGACAAACAAGGGCAATGTACACATTGAACTGTCATTGTTATAACCGAATCAATCGCCATTCGGAATCCAAAAGTAATGCAAATATCAACGTTGGTCGAAGAAACATGCTTAATTGTCAAGTTGAATATTAACATAAATATCAAACTCCACGAACGAACACACAAAAAACAAACCAAACCAATCATCCGCTATCATTCCACCATCATCATCTTAGAACATTCATAGATGAAAACAAACATGTCAAAATAAAATCAATCAATCGATTATTTAGAACAAAATAATCGATACGTTAACCTTTCATCGGTTCAACTACAGAACTGGCAATAATCTTCTTAAATCGGTTGTGGTATCTTAGCTTTCAATTTTTTTATTTCTCAAGTATTCAATACGTAATTTGAACGAATAAAATAAATATTTATGAAAGTATTCAAAGACCGTATTTCATATAATATATTATATATAGATTTTATATTGAATATATATTTGACGTTCATTCGCTCAGTTGGTACACGTCATTACATCACATATCTCACTTATTATTAGCAGTAAATGGCGACAGATAATATTCTATAGAACAGGTTTGAAAAACTCGCGATTAATTGAGAATCGCTTTTGACATCGTTGATGTATGTGATCGATTTTTCAAAAACCATCCAAAGTACAACCCTTTGATATATTGTGTGGTTTTCAATTAAAGAGAACGGAATGAATTCTACACAATCTTATTTTGACTTTATATTCGATTATTAAGCGTATTGATGGTACTTTAAAGGTAATAGAATTAATTGCAATGTACAGGAAACGATAATATCCATTAAAATAGATGACCCTTTTCAAGGGCAAAAGTCATGAAACACTTCCAAGATATAGTTTTATTATTAAAGTACTTCTGCGTAAACCAGAACGTTTCTTAAAAAGATTTTCGCGTTTTGTTTTTGCACTATCATCAGACGTTTTGTTATCTTGATAATTATTAGCAGCATTTAACATTTTAGTTTGGTTCCCCGACATTAAAATTCACCATTTTGTAGAAATAAAATCTATTAATCATATATTATTTATTTGTCATATTGCCATCCATGTACGGTTTTGTAAATTATGGGGTCCGATTTCGCCATTCTTCTTTACTTGAAGAATTAAGAACGAATGTAATAGTTCCATAAAATTTGTTTAGATTAGATTACTAACTTGTAAATTAAAAGCTTGCTATCAATTTGTAGGCAATATTCTTTAGATATTGCAATAGAAGTGGTATTTCAATTACTTATTTTTTTGTTCACAGAAACTGAATTTCTTCTCGTGCCACCTTCACTAGTCGCGGTAGCTTGCTTAAGCGCTGCGGCGCGTGGTCTGCGCGTACGCATGTCTATTAACGATTTGTGTGCGTTGACAAGCACGCCGCCCGCTGCAGCCGAGCTGGTCGCGAGACACGTGGAGAGAGTACTAGCTCGCGAGACTCAGCCACAAGAGCCGAGGACGAGACACGTGCAACCTCATAAACCGACCACTTCGGATCAAACACAGCTACCTGATACACCCACCGATGTTCAAGATGTGCATTTCTAGTTTTCTTTTCATCTTACAATTTAAAAACGCACGTGGGAGATATTTTTCTCTCATATTATGATGACGGTCGACGCAAACAAAGTCAATCGATCTCTCTGTTATTAATGAAAAGATTTGAATTGAGACGCAATTCATTGTTACAGTTTTTTTGACGTACACCTGGGTACACAGCAAACGGGGAACGAAGAAAAAATGTACCCATGTTATGTGCATCACCGATTGTATTTTCTGAAATAAAACTTAGAGGAATTTGTCCATTGATCTCAAATTATTTATGTACAATATTGATCTAGAGTAGATTTATTTATTAAGAATTGTTAATGTGTGTATCAATGATAGTTCGGAAACAGTATAGGTTAATTTGATCTCTCATGATTCCAAAATGTTAAGCAAGACTGAATCACATAAGCACAAATGTTTATACTAAAATCAAATTATTGTTTGTTTGGTAGATTTGTATGCCATAGACATTGTGGGTTGAAGTTCACATAAGTGTCAATAGATGCTTGTGGCATTATTGTATAAACACTCCATAGGCTCATCTAATGTTGTGAATAGTACTATAGTTATTAAATTTCAGTATGTTTGGAGTGGAACTAGGTAAAATTATTTTATAAGATCTCAGTTCTTAGTTATAATTGACGAGATGAGGTTCAGTGTTTCTTTTTAATCCCAAATGAAAGTGTTATTGTATGATATATGTATTTAGGTGTATGTTAAGTTTTAGAAAATTCTAGTCACATGTTTTACACATTCCTGTTTTGGACCAAACTTTGATGTTTTTAAGATAATTTTATATAAATCATACGTAGGCATAGAATACTTATATTAAGATCTCTTTATTTATTTAGACTTTAAGAATAAACATTACCTTAATGTAAAAGAATATAAAAATTGAGCATTTTGGCGAAATTTTCCATTAATTGTCATTTTATTCTTTTCCATGAGTGCAGTTTTGAATTTCCTTTAAGTAATAGCTAAAGTCTAATTAAATAAATAGATTAACTACTTCATGTAGATAGTATGCGGTTTTTATAATAGTACTACAAAATACTCATTATTAAGACAACAATAGGAGTTTTGTTTATAGGACGGGAAAGTGCCGTATTTATGATATCGCCAGAATTAAGAGAGAAATAACATTATTGTTGTAATCATAAAATATTGTGTAAGCTAAAGTAGCGAGCCGCGACGGGCGTTACGCGATGTTAATTAAACTAATTAGAATAAATTAAAAGTCGAGCTTATAAGTTTCTCTCTTCATTCTCTTACGAGACGTTACTTTCATATGTGTGTAGGCTTCTTTAATTAGTGCTCATGAGGTTGACCAGCGTGGAACCATACATTGTTAGTTATTTTCGAGGGGAGCATTACAGTTTTGATACGTTTAGTTTTAATTAGAGAGCTGGACCGTATATTTATCACTCAATAAAACATGACATTGAAAGTTATATATCAATTTTCGTGAAATCTGATTTAAATATACGTAAGTTTAAGAACTAACGACAATCTGTTACTGCTTCTCTTCGTTAATATCAAAAGCTAGTAGGTATTCTATTTATTTTCTAAAACACTGTTTTTATATTTCTGATTTTTTCGAATTTTATTTGGTTTTTTGTTCATCAGTCGACGTCTAAAGTTTATTTACGTAGACTTTTGAAATTCAATATTAAATTATTCGGTTCGAGGAATTTTAAAGGTATACTTTACATTGATTTGTACAACTTATAATGTAGAGAATGAATGTATGAACTGTTAAGATTTAGCTAGAATAAGATTGTAAAGTCAACTTTTTGAAAAGTGAAATGTACAGAATTTTGGTATTGAAAAGAAAATCAATAAAAACATTAAAACCTTGCAGTATTTATTTTTTTTATACGTCTTTAGTCAAGTGTAACATAATGTTCGAGATCAAAAGGAATTCTTTATATAATTTACAACAAGTCTAGATCAGTGTGACAATATGCGTATTCGCTAACTCAACTGACAATCTAAAGCAGCAATCATCGTTGTTGCTGAAGGCAACCATTTTTAAGATTTACTTTTTATATTTTTTGATATATATTTGATTGGTAGGTATTGTCTATGGAGACTGAGGTGGTCGTTTTTCTTTGTTTTTAAAGCTTATGTGCTTTCTAATATATTATCGGTATTACTTACTCTTACATGTCTTTGTTTACGCCTATGTCCTTTTTTCGCCGTTAGTTTAAATTCAAAATTCCAAACATATTTTTTTTCAAAATAATGGTACGTTCCCTCGTAACGGGTAAGAAAGCTCAAACGCTAGCTGAGCCCTCATCAGAGACCCAGCAGCAAGTGAACAAAGAACCACGTACAAATGAACATCTTCAATTGCTACTGTTATAGCTCTTTCTATGGCAGCTCTAGCGAATACGCGAGAAAGGTGTTAGGAATCAAGCGAATTGCAATGGCCAGGTACTTGAATTAGAGTTGTCTACGCAATTATATGAGATTGAGGCAGAAGACAGATGCAGAAGTCTCAGTGTACATTCTACCATTAGATCTGTACAGGGTTGATTGGATAATTGTGTTAATTTTGTAACGGATCCCAAGAAGGTGATTAGTCCCAGTCGCCTTGTTGGCAACGAGGCCACTTTGGTTCGGCTCTGTGTATCGGTCCCCGTGGATCGTGTTTCTGTTACAAATAGATTGCCTTAGACACATTTGACATTTTCAGAGCCTCAGCCTAGATATCCTCAATACTCAGGTTATAGCCAAGCGCCTGCCAAGACACCGGCCCTATGTTCTCAAGTGCCAGAAACAAAGGTGACTGAAAATAAGCTACCAAATAATGTTTGTTGTAAAAATAATACACTTACAAGTACTTAACTTAGATATTCATTTATTAGCAAAAGTTATTACAGATTTGGCTAAAGAAAATAAATAACTCTTCCAAATTAAATGCGGCTATGTTGCTGACCAAGTCACCGGTCCTATGTCCCCAGTTGCCAGAAGCAAAAGAGAGGTATATATATATACAGGGATGCCCAACACTTTCTATGGTGCAGTACCCCTGACGAATCTATACGTATTTATTGAATGAGTTCCATGATTTTTGGGGCTATGTCAAGTCCATTTAGAGTAATTTATATAAAAAATGAAAATGTAACAGTGTGAAAACCAGTACCCGGATGCGGCGGAAGCCATTATTTTTATAGAGAAGGCGGCAAAAGTTGCAAGGGACGAGGTAGAGGTTCACAGTCGAGTGCTGTTTGAAATTTGCGGTTGTGTTTCCAATGAATCTTCTGCTCTGAACTTTCTCTCAACTTACGTCTTGTGCAGTAAGTATACACAAATCTATCCGTAGATTTAGGTCATTTTCCCTAAAGCTTTACGGATATTAGACTTAATTTGGTACCCAGAAACTGACACACTCGGCTTTAGCATAGTTTTATCTGATCTAATGCGTATCTTTGATCCGCTGGGTATTTTGTCGCCTCTCACCATTAGAGTTCGTATCATATTTCAAGATATATGGCATTCAGGTAAAAGTTGGGACGAAGATCTACCACAAGCTATCTCTGTATAATGACATTTTAGGTATAAATACGTTCAGTCCGTTTTAAATTTGAAACTGCCACGCTAGTACCTCGTAAGTATTGAAGTTGTCTATCGTGAATTACACATATTTTGTGACGCTAGCAAAGAAGCGTGTGCAACAGTTGCATGTAAGCGTATTGTATATTTAAATGGTAATGTTTAGCACATGTTGATATCTAGTAAAGCTAATTCATATTATCCATTAAATAAAGATCATATCATTCCTCGGTAAGAACTTCAAGGTGCATTGATTGCAGCTCGTCTCCCGCGCATCATATCTGACGCAAATAAATATAAACCTATAAAGCGAGTCTTTTAGACAGACGCCTTTTAACGTGCTTGGCTGGATACCTAATGATCGCTACATGACATAGTTGTTAATGAACTACGACAGCGATATTGGATTTTAAAACGGAGGTCTACAGTTAGAGCATGTTATGAAACAGGGGTAACTAACTAAAGTCAAAAATGAAATTTCAATTTAATTATTATTTACATAAAAAAATAAGAGGGGTATGAGGTGAGTGGTGAAGTACCTAAGTAGTGAAAGTGATAGGTGTCAGTGGTGTAGGGGGTCCGGTGAAGGGGCGTGGGTCAGCTACGAAGTTCCATTGATGATGTTGATGTGCTTTTCAGAAATAGTCGACGTCAGCTCAAGGAATCAGCGATGTTCGGATCCGGAGCGTAACTCGGCGAGGTGTAGTCTCTCAATGCGTCGAACAGGTAATTCTCCAAGGAGCTTCAAGGTGTAGACTCGTAGACAGCCTCCAAGAGATGTTATTTTAGTCTAAGATTGTAGGTGGTCAAGTAGCGAAGGAGGTTAAGTAGAGTATTGATTTGTTGACGTCTAATTAAAGCCAAATTGGTGTCAAGTGACTTTGAGACCGTAACTTTGAATAGGCCTTTTAAGAATTTAGGTATCTCAGTACGAGCTCGAAAAGCTAACTTAGGCAACTGTTGCCGTTAAAGTGATGAAGAACTACACGGAAAAGGCTTTATACTCGAGGGCTAGCTTAAATTTGGAAGCAAATGATTTCAATTTAGAACCCTAAAAATTCAAAAGCTACAGAGTTTCAATACCTAAAAATGACTACCAATGAGTCAATTTTCATGAAGAGTATTAAATATAACCATGATAACGAAGAAAAACTTTGATGTCAAATCTGTCAAAACAATTAAAATTATCGATAAATTGTGTTATATTATATAAATAAGTGCTTTAATATCATTAGAAATAGTAAAACTGATAATGAAAAACTAAGAAAGCTACTGGTAAGGGTTTACATTAGTGTAAGTAGACAAAAACATAGGATGAAAGTTCGTGGAGATTTGGATAAGTTTGTATTACATAATTTTAATAGAATGTCCATAGTCATAGAATGGACAAAGTGAAGAATATAAATGGAATAAAATTAAAAAGATGATATGATACGATATGA